TCTCTCTCTCTCTCTCTCTCTCTCTCTCTCTCTCTCTCTCTCTCTCTCTCTCTCTCTCGCGCGCGCGCGCGCGCGCGCGCTCTATCCGGCTATCCCGCCCCGCTATCACGTTTCCCTTCTCTCTCTCTCTCTCACACACGCACAAACGCACAGCGAGGGGGCAAAACGTAAGGATAACCTGGGCAACTAGGGGTAAAACGAAAATACAAACGGCCTGGGAAAAGTTAACAAGTACGGGGACATTTTGCAAACATGGACAGTACCCGGTAGGGGTATTTTGCAAAGATGACAGGTTCAACCGGCGCCAGGGGCATTTCACAAAGCATATTTTGGTTCAGAGGGGTATTCCGCTATGGCCAGAACTTTTAGGGGCATTTCGGCATATATCTCAACTTAATAGGAGTATTTCGCAACTTATCCCTATAATAAAAAAGAGAAAGAGAATGACGATATCACAAGGCTGTACCCCTTTAATTTAAAAAAATAAAAAAGGAAAAAAAAGGGCCTCTCACCAACTGGGTGTCCCAGCTGGCACAGGCCGTGTCTCATTGCACAAGTACTTCTGAAACGTTTTTACCTATGAACTGCTGAAGCGCCGCACACGTCAGTTGGAATCCAGATAAGTGAAAATAAGAGGCTCGCCACACAGGCTGTGGAATGTCGAAAATTTTCGACAGGTGTCAGTAATTTTTTGACAGCCCGGCGTCGACAATTTCGCCCCCTATCGCCACACAGCCTGTCGAGAGGCGAAATTGTCGAAAGTTGGCAAGTCTACACCGCCTTTAGACAGGTGCTGTGTGGCGAAGGTGCTGTGTGGCGAAGGCGGTGGACTGTGGGGAGTTATTACACATATGAATTTGTCCACACAACCGGACCAGATGCAGACGCCGTTTTCCACAGCCACTGTAGATTACATACAGACAAACAGGCCACGGCTGTCAGGGAGCAGTCTCTTCCAACGCAAATTCGAACGCAATTTTCGAAAGCCAGGCGGTGGACTGTCGAATTTACTTGAGCTGCAGGCGGGAGGAAACGGTTGCTGGAGGGCGGCTGTCGAAAGGACCATTCTGACACCTGTCGAAAGTTTTTTGAGCCGCAATTCTTCGAAAGTCTGTGCGGCGATGCAAAATTGTCAGCCTGTGTGGCGAGCCTCTAAGGGCCTCGCCACACCACTGTCGGAACAGTGAAATATTTGCCAGTTGTCAGACCATAATATTCGCCAGTTGTCACACCATTTTCGACAGTCACGGTTTCGACACAAAGGCCGTCTTCGCCACACCGTATGTGGAAGACCCACTATAAGCAACGTTTCGTTGTTAAAAAGGGAAAAAAAAAAGAAAAAACAGAAGAAGAAGACGCGGGATGCTGAGGCAGGGACAATACCCCGACCCTGGCAGGTGTCAAAATCCGCACATCCTTCACGACCTCCCTTCGAAGATGTTGAAACTCGACACGCTGCAGGCGGGCCACTCCACACCCATCATGTCGAAACCACTTCTCTGACAAATGTAGAAGTGTTTTCGACATTTTTTCTTTGACAGTCTGTGCGGTGAAGAAAAAGTGTTGAAAACACTTTTCGACATTTGTGAGAAAAGTGGTTTCCACATGATATGTGTCGATTTTCAACATCTCCGAAGGGAGGTTGTGAAGAATGTGTGGAATTTTGACACCTGCCAGGGTCGGCGATACCCTCATGCTCTCGTGGAAGATTCGCTCGCATTTCGGCGATGATTTCGCACACTTGGTGAGGACTGGAGCAAGGTTCTCAAGTCCTTTTTATTTCTTTCTGTCTTCTTCTTTTGAACGTTACGGCAGGTCTTCTGTTTTTGCAATCCCCCGTGACAGCACAACCAAGGCCACCCAGTGCCTCAGTGGAATACAAAGGCAGCACTGGTGGACTCAAGCAAGCGAGCGTACCCTTTTGGCCCCTCCATAGCCCCGAAAAAAACGACTTAGTATCATCATGATGGTGGCCGGATGGACCATGGATCTGCATTATTTCAGTTTTTTTCAATTTATTTTTTAAAAAGGTCGTTTTTTTTGCCTGCACCTGCTCCCGTTCTTATCTTCTGTCGAATCTGACAGGAAGGCCTTCCAGGCTGTTTATTATGGTTGTAGTGTAAGGGGTGTACTCACACTAGCACGTGAACCCAATGCGGGCAATACGAGCCAGATATCAGCTAGTAGTGTAAGGGACAATGAATTGAATGACTGGAGGGAACCTCGTCCAAAATGTTCCGTTCTTTTTCCCCTTTTTTTTTTTTTTTTTTTTTTTTTTTTGTAGAAGAAGCTGCGGTAATCAATCAACAAATCAGATCAAAATAACTACTTGTTAATATGCTGTCTGGCTCCCTGGATCAACCTTCGGTAATGTGTTTCTGATGNCGGTAATGTGTTTCTGATGTCCCTTTTTTTTTTTTTTTTTTTTTTTTTTTTGACCAAACAAAGGCTCCATCTATTAGTGGGAAACGTGTTCTCAGCCATCTATATCTTGAAGACACTTGGGACCTTTCAGGGACAATGAAATGACTGACCGGGGGCCAAGTCCCACATGCACCGTTGAACTAGCTCAACGCAACTGTGTGACACTGTTTTTGCGACTTACAGACTTGAAACAAAGGCAAAAAAGCTTTAAAAAGGATAATCAAATGCTTTTTTCCCCCTATTTCCCAAAAAACAATGAATAACCAAATGCTACTGAAATCTTTGTCCGTCGTTTCTAAAAGTAAAATGGAAAATACAACAATCCTCAGTGAAAGGCTCCGCATACTATGCAGCGTCGTAGACCGGGACTCGCTACAACATGAAATGAACGTAGACAGTGCTCCTGGCTTGGTGCATTCGCAGAAACGAGTTTGGGGCTGCACAGCCAAACACAGCATGAACACTCTGTCAGAGTGTCCTCCCATGGATGTCAGAGTGTCCTCCCACAGAATGTCAGAGTCTCCTCCCACAGAAGGTCATGATGGCACAAGCACCTTTGAACCGATACCCCACTCCAAGTGGGGTATGTAGTTCAACGGAAGATGGGCAGGGTAGGGGGCTTTGTATTCGGGCGGAAGGATTTTTCAGCCCCTTTCTTGAACCAAAAAACAAAAACGAAAGTCTTTGTATTTTATGCACCTAGGAACAACCGCTGGATGTGCAGCTCCAGATGCATCTCCGACGTCGCGTGGGGTCACACACGTTGAGGTAGTTCAACGTTGCACTGGTTCAACGGTGTATGTGGGACTTAGCCCCGGAGGGGACCTCGTCCAGATTTTTCCTTTCTTTTTGCCGTTTTTCTAAACGTGTTTCCAACCATCTGGCACCTTTATGGGACGAACTGACTGACCTTTTCTTTCCGTTTCTTAAACGTGTTTTCAGCCATCTATATCTTGAAGACGCTTGGCACCCGCTAAGTTTTTTCCTACCTTTTTCCCTTTTCATTTCAAAGTGTCAACATTACATGATTGCAAATGACCCGCACACACACACACACACACAC